TTCTCTGGGTGCTTGGGGATCTCTGCCCAAGAGATCTTACTCCTTTGTTTCATTAGATCTCTTTGTAACTGTCTTGAGGCCAATATGTTTTTAAAAAAGAAATCTTTCTCTCCTCTTGAAGACACAGTAAATATAGTGAGACAATGGAGGTTTAAACTTTGCAGTTTACCAAGTTTTAAAATTTTTTTAGAAACAATTTTTTTTTTTGGTATTGAGAACTGAACTTAGGACCTTATGCTTGCCAAGCAGGCATTGTGACACTGAGCTATATCCCTGGCCCAGGAAACAATTTTAGAACTAGGAGATATAATACAAGGTATAATGTGACTAGTTGAATCTATTTTATTATCTAACTGTAAGTAATATATTACTTTATAATTTACTTTGTTCTATAGTTTGTAGCTACTGAGAAAGATAAAGGCAGCAGATTGATGCTCTTAATACTAAATCTCATGTCTATGTGCAGGAGATAAGATGGATCAGCAGTTCTCCCCGGAGGTGACCCCTGACCCAGAAGTAGTGGTGCCACCTGAACATTTGCTGTATATGAAAACCACTCGCCTCTCTTGCCCTGGTTCTGCTGGCCTGTCCCTCAGGTGTGCTCAGCTGCTGTCCACTAGACCGAGGCTGCCAGGTCCCTCATGTCCTGTGGGGTGGGAAGTCGAGGACAGGCACCGGGAGCAGAGTTTCTTCCCTGTCTGGTGGGGCTCCTTAGCTGGTAGCCGGGTCCACATGGTCAGAGGTCTGGGGATGGATATCAGTGCGCTGCCTGCACTGAAATTTGGGCACTTGAATATCAGTCAGTGACATTCTAAAGCAAATATGATCTGTATAGCTGCATCTCTGAAATGAAAGTGTAATTAAGTTTCTCATTAAATTTGACACAGTTTAGGGCAATATGTTTACAGTTGTAGAACTGTGGGGCCTAGAGATGTGTGAAAGTTACTCTTCTGGGCAGGCTTCTCTGTGGGGAGGAAGAAAAGCATGGCTTTCTCTTGGTGTGGTCTGCAACGTGACCAGCAGGAAGCAGGATCTGACCAACACTGTACCACTGGCGAAGGTGAGACAGACCCTACATTCGCCATCACGGTGCGGAACTGTGGATGAGCAGAGCATCTTTACTATGCAGTGAGTCATGGCTCTTCCAAATTAACCAATCTAAATTATGCAGAATCCCATAACCAGAATCTTAGGACCTCTTGAAAAGAAGTCACATTTTCAATTTTTAATTTTTTCATATACTTGTACAAATTAGACTGTGGATCCAGGAAATATTTAAATATGTGCTATAAAAACACATGTCTGTTAGAAAATGAATGCAGAGTACTTATTTGGAACTTGTATGTACTGAGTTACACTCAGAAAATAATTAAACTATTAATATAATATCAACTAAACTCTACCTGCTGTACTTGTAAGCCTCTAACTGTCATTTGCCTATGAAAGCCAGCTGTTCTGCAGTGTCCCAACGCCGCCTGCACTACTGCTGGGCCTGGAGGGCCAGTGGTTCTGCTCTAAGCTGGGTCCTGACAGGAACAATCACCCAGTGATTCTTATATCCGCTCCTGAAGGCTGCGGCTCCTTCACAGCTTGTGAAACGTGTGTGTGTCTGTACTAAAGTCCCAGTTGTGAGCAAACATGCTTGTAGTTTGTGCACAGGGCAGCATGTTGGGAAGTCAGTTTACAGGAAAACACATGGTGTGCTCGTGATTTCTTTGTGCCCCTTGCTCAAGCATTGGTAGCCATAGCACATACATGTGTGCCTGTGTTCCTCCTGGGTGGCTTTGGGAGCTATCAGACTCCCAAGATTGTCACTGTGGGACCAGGCTTTTGTCCAGGTTCCAATAGGCAGTGGGCTTCTCACTGGAGGAGGTTTCCAGTATCTTGTGTGGTAGGGCAGCAGCGAGGCCTGAGCAGGCTGAGGTTGCACCTCCTGACCCCTGGCAGTAGGTACAGAGCCCAGAATCCTGCAGCAGGGCCAACCAGTGGTCATGCCTGCTGGACAGGGTGGTGGGAAGTAAGGCTGCCACTAGACACCTGCTGATAAACACATGGTGCTACCACCATTGTGAGCAGTAGATAGGCAGACGGTTTCTAAAGAGATTCTGCAGCAAGCTGTGCACATCCCAGCACAGAATGCGGTTGAAGCCATCAACTCCTAAAAGGTTGTCTGGGTTGTTGTGTGCTCAGCAGCAGAGTTCAGGCTTACTAGCTGGTTCTTCTCAGAGGGAGCAGTAGGGTCAGCATGCTGCACTGGGTAGGCCTTTAAGGGTGAGGAACCACTTGCCCCAGCCCTGTCCTGCTCCTCACAGCCACTGAGGAGCCCTGCCCTTCCCAGCACTGTCCCCAGGGCCCTAGGTCCCTGCGGCTCCGGCTGGGGCACAGGCACACACAGGCACCCCCATTGGGAGGACTTTGCCTATCATCCTGGGCTCCTGCTCCCATAGGAGGCTGAGCGTGGCTGCCACGGTTTGAAAGCAAGTGTGTGTATATCAGGCTTCCTCTGCCCAGAGCCGGCCTCTCTTGCTCAGGCTCAGTTCGAGTTTTGCTGTCTCCTAATACTTCAATCCCTCTGCCATTGCTGCCTGGGCCTGCTTAACGTTTGCTGGTTACAAAAGACAAGAAGGGAAAATAGAGGACAACAGAAGAAAAGACACTCCCTAGGGAGGGCTGAGAGGGAGAAGTGGGGGTATCTCCGTGCAGGGAGTGGAGGGGGCCATGGCCACTGCTGCCCCCAGCGGACGCTGCAGCTGGAAGTCAGGCATTCATTTCTTCCCTTGGACTTGTTTAATTGCATTTTCCATTTAAATTATGTATGAAGAGTTTAATGAATAGATACTGTGTGAAGGCGCCAAGCTCAATCTTCCTGCCCTCCGTTTTTCCAGTAAAATAACAGCTCTGTGATTTACTCACTTATTTGAAATTAAATTTATAATTTCAAATATGCATATTTCAAACCATCTTTTTATATGAACTAAAAATCCATTTTGGGCTGGGGATATAGCTCTTTGGTAAGGCACTGGCCTAGCCCACAGAAGAGTGGGTTTGATATCCATTACTGCAAAAGAAAACACCCACTCTGACTGTAAGCGAGATGCCAGCGCACAGGGCTAGCAGGTGACCGGACCACAGGGTCCTTTTGGGTCAGGCCTGGTCTGTTGGTTGCTCTTTTCTGATCTGTCTGGTTGCTATTCAGCCCCGCAATGTGTTACACTAGAGCTCAGAAACAGTAGTATGAAGAAGTAGCACAAGGAGAATTCCTGGCAATCAGACAGTTTACCCTCTTGCTTAATTCTATTTTTTTTTTTTTTTTTTTTGCCTTTTTCGTTTTTATCGGTACCAGGGATCCAACTCACGACTGCCTACTTGCAAGGCAGGCGCTTATGCCGCTGAGCTAAATCCCCAGCCCCTCTTGCTAATTCTTAAATGACTTCTGGCCCCAACACATTCACTGAAAGGCACCAGGATTTCCCACAAGAGAGCAGGCATTTCTTGGCTACTTTTAAAAATAGCAGATGAACCTGAAAATCTGGGTATAAAACATCCCAAAGTTTACAGAAGAAACCTCAGCTTATGCCCCCAAATGCTCACTGACCTCAGCAGAAGAACCTGAAGTGAGGGTGACATTCTCCACCCTGGCACTGACGTTAACGTGCTTTGGGGGTGAAGCCTGTTTTATACAAATTCAGCTGAGACTGCACTGGGGACTCAGCTCAGAAAAGCTCATTTTTAAAAAGTTTTACATCATCACATTATATTCTTGTGGTGCTCACTGTGGGATGTTAAGTAGCAACTCCATTTTTTAAAAGGCTGAAAATGAAAAAAGGACATTACCGGTATTTGGTGGTGGGGCCGGATCAATTTTCTCTAGGGTCAAAAGCAACATGATACTTGAAGAGACTAGATCTTAGAAGAAGTGTTTCCAGCCTCATAAATTTAGAAGGACAAAGGGTATTTCTACTGTACCCTGGCTAGCTCTGCATACGCCTCATAATCTTCCCATAGCAAGGATGAGGCAAAGGCAGCTGGAAAGGGAATGTCACGCATCCTCGGCCCAGCCACCCTGGGACGGATTCATGGGGAGAAGGGGGTCTCTCTCCTCTTGGCATCTCCAGTCCTCAATCTCCGACTCTTGTGTGGGTTTATGGGGAAAGGAAACAAAAGAGCCCCCTGAGGGGGAGTATTTTAAAGGAGAAAATGATCATGTTTCTTTCACTGTAATAATTTCCTTTTCATTTAAATGTTCACCATAATTTAAGATCACAGTTTGTACTGTGTCCTATTTTTTACCATATGACAAAACTGTGTCATGCTTACATTAAAAGCACAAAATTGTTTTGTTTGAGAAAAAAAGACACCAAAGCTGGGGCAGGCAGAAGAGGCAGATGCACAGCTATGTCTCACTCTTGCCTGAGCTGAACAAGCAAATGAGAATGGGCAGGAGGGGCAAAGGTCTGCGGGTACAGAGAGGGAAGGGCAGCCAGGTAAAGGGAAGATGCTCGCTAGCACAAACCTCATAAAAGAATCTTTCTCCTTCCTTCTTCTGTTCATGGAATTGCAAGCCAAAGATGTTAGACAGAGACAGGACACATTACAGACACAACACACAACACATTTTGACATGGCTTTCTCGAGTGGAAAGTAAACTGCTGATACATCAAAACACTAGTGCCACAAAGCATGTTTCAGAATGAACATCGAAACCAGCATTATAAGACACAATAAAGAAATCTACAATTAGCACACATACTTCATCGTGCATGTACAGATATATGCACTGAACAGAAGTCCTTCTCCGCCCCTGCTCTTCCCTCCATTCCCTGAAGGCCTCCGTGGAAAGTAAGAATTCTCTTAACTGCTGCTGATGGGACTTTAGAACATTACCACTTCCCGTTCTTCAGTAAATCATATAAACTTGGTCAAGGTTCCTTCGTAACAGAGGTAGCTGCTAATGATCTCTAAGCAGGCATCTGGCAAATGCAGAGGTAAAACCAACTTACCTCTTTCCCTCCCATGGACTCGAACATTTTTTCCAGCTGGACGCGCAACTGTTGAATGTTATTCATCAAGATGCAGGGCTTAAAAGCAGAAAATAAGAGAGCGCTGTGAACATTCCTTAGGTATGAAGCTACTGAGAAAGGATAATGTTAGCTTACAAGTGATAGCAGTCACCTATCATTGATACCTGGTTACATTACACTGGGTAAACAGTAATTCTGCTGCTTGACATGATGGTCTTTAACAGCTAGGAGCAGAAAAGACAACACAATGCCCTTTCTGAGGAATGAAACATCCTCACACAACAAACCATTAGAGACTGGCCTGCCTTGAAGATCCCCAGACCACTATACATGCAAGGAAGGCTTCAGAGTACTGTCGCCTTGTTTCCAAACAGAGACAAATATGTGGGACTCTGAGGCAGGGCCAGATACACTCTCAGGATAATAGAGATTAACTTCTAAGGAGGAAACAGAATTTGCAATCATTATAAATTCACTGAACTGCATACTGATTCCAAAGAGCCATGGATGGACAGGGAGATGGGTGACAACCTGTAGTTGTTGGCCACCAGGACAGACAGTGCCAGCCAAGGATGTCAGAGGGGTCAGCTCTCACCTCACTGGTGAGGTGAGGTTTCATTATTGCTCCTCCCACATCACTGACCTCTGAAGAACTTTCTACTTCACTCTTAAAGTGGCCACATTCTAACTTTCATTTATGGAAATAATTTACAATGTCTATTCTGGTCCCTTTCCCCAGCCACCTTATTTTTTTAACTGAGATTCATCCCAGGGCTCTAATCCCAGCCACGATGAGAGTTCCTTGGTCCTTTCCATAGCAGGAATGGACATTTCCAAACCACCAAGGGATTTGGTGTCTGGACACGGAGGCCACAAACCAAGCCAGCAGACTGCTCTTCCACTAGAGGTTCACAGTCCATACATGTAGTTTTTCTTTTCCTTTTTAGGAAGGGACAACTTGGCTTGATGTGGGGATTCCGACAGAAAGGAACCCAACATCCAGGAGGGCCATGAGCATAGTGAGAAGCTGGACTCTGGGGAAGGGTTTTCTCTCATGCTCCTGGGGACTGAGCCAGCTTGGCTCGTCTGTGCTTATTTGATATTAGCATTCAAGGCCACTTGCTTTGGTGCATGTGACAGGACACTAGAATTAGCTTCATAAGGAAAGGCCGACCTATAGGCCACTAAGGTGTTCATAACAAAGCCATTTCCAGGGAGAAAGAGCTACCAGGGAGCAAAGGCACAGGCGCCAGCTACTGTGCAGCCACAGAGAAAGGAGATGCAGATGCAGGGGGAGGGCGAGGGCACACTCATGCTGTCCTCCCTCTGCCAGCTTCCCCGACCTTCAAATGTCCAAAGTTCACTTTATTAAAACGATGTCTCAAATCACTAATGACAAGTAGATTACACAAATCTACCTTACATCTATCATGAGATAGCTTTACTTTAAACAATCCCAGAGTAAATGAAAAAAGAGAAAAGGAACTCGGAGTCCAGAGAACGTTAACCTAATTCAAAGGCATCACTGTGGAGAAGTGTGGTGAGACACCACAGCTTCAGTTTGAAGTCAAGTTGTATCTTTTCATGTGCACATTTTGACTTGGCTCACAGTATCTTAAAATATTTTATTTGACCTTGATCTGAGTAGCTAAGGACCAGAAATATGAGGAAAGTTAGTTTTATTTAAACTAAGATCATTTTTTCAGAGGGCAAATGTTTTGAGGGTTGAAAAATTTTAAAAAAATATTCAAAATAAAGTAATACTAAATTAGATAAATACAATGATATTTTGTGGAATGTTGGGATAAAATGGACAAAATATTTGTTCCATTTCCAATTTAAAATGTCATAGTGGAAAAAATATTCTGAAATAAACATTTTGTTGAACTACAGTCTTTAATTCTGATTCTTGACAAATCAAAGGCTATGGTCTTATATTTAATGGTATCTAATTATAAAAGTTTCTATCTCAGTTTGCAGATGAGATAGATATATCATCACACATATACCATGAAGCGTACAATGAATTTCAGTGGTGTTGATAAGAAATTAAGAGGTAACGACAGCTCTGTGCTGTGTAAATGAACGAAAACAGCTCTTTAGAGTGTCTCAGCAGGAAGCAACCACACAGCAGCCAGCTGGTATTCTTTCATAAAAGTTATGAAGATCCTCTGTGTTTAAACAGTGAAATGGGGTTAAGACACTAGTTATCAGAGAGGAAAAGCTCTGTGCTAGACATAGTGAAGGATTTTGTAAACTTTAGGTATAACATTGACTCTGAAAAGTATTGAAACATACAGGACAATACTTAGAATAACATAATAGATTCTGGTGTGTAATTTTCATCTCAGGGTTATAGTACAAGATGTAGTGTAGAAACCATAAGGAAGAACTCTGCAGAGGCTTTGAAAATTAATTTTCCTTTCTGAGCATCAGATCTCAAGTATTTTAGTATCTCAAGTCAGCTTTCAGAATTATATTTTGCTGTCCTAACACAAAGAGAATCTTTTCTGACATTGTGAGGCATTTTTCTTTGGCTTTACTATAACGCTTCAGACATGTGTTATACTTTAATCCCTTAATTAAAAATATATATTTCCAATACATAATTACTCCATCTCACTTTTTGAGTATTTATAGTCAATGACAATGAGAAATCACTGTTGGTGTCTGGGCTTGTAATAAGATTCCAGGCAGCATATTCATTTAAGAGAAAGGGAAAGGACAGGTTGTTGGCAACAAGTGGAGGTTTCAGCAAGACCAGTAGCTTCCTTATAATTCTCTCCCGGACTTGTCTGATAGTGAGGACTGATATCTTTTTTAAATGAAAAAAAGCACCCAGATTTTTCCCTTGAAAGTCCTGTACTCTGTATTTAACCATTTTGTCTTAATACTGCTCTTTTTAAAAAATTCTATTTTGTCAACATATTTTTCCTGATACTGCCAATGGTAAATAAGAAAGATTTTACTTCTAATTATAAAAATAACAGAGTCCATGCCAAGAATGGGTCCATTCTATTTTACCGTAAGCTACACCATCACAAAATCCTTTATTACCTAACTTGTTTATCTTGTTCCCTTTACTCCTTCTATTGAGTGAGATACATACTGGCTTGGATTTTGTAAATACTTCCTCATAAAGAAGGAGAGTTAAATTAACCAGGCACAGTAGCAATCGGCATTGTTTCACACATGAGCCATCCTTCTCAGCCTCTCACCGCTGAGACTGAAGCGCCCCTGTCCTAGTGTTTGTGTCACGGTGAAACTGGTCAGTGTCTTTCTCATCTAGCTGGTGCTTTGATTCTTAGCTCCAGAGCTTTCCGAGTCTGCCAATTCTCATCTTATTCCGTATCAAAATGGAAAACCATAAATCAGCTGCTGTCAAAATTCTCTCAACCTTCCTGTGAGTCCTGCATTGGAATGAGTTCAAGGCCCCTGAGAAACAAAGATTACGATTCAAACAGATTCTTGCAATTCCTATTTCTGATCTTTTGTAAAAGCAGAAGTAAACAACCTATCGTGTTTACCCTGAGTTGGAAGAAGTAATGCTCACTGGAGGAATAATCAAGAGAGGAGACAGTTTTACTCACCACGTTTTCCTTACCACAGTATGAACTGAAATCGTTGGACACAATTGCAGCGTACTGGACCAGCACCTTATTGATGGTCTGAGGAAGAGAACATGGGAGATTACACGGGAACACACAGCTCCCCACACATGCTAGCCCAACTGATGCTAAGTCAGGAGAGTCCAGGTGTCCTTTAGCTGCATGAGCCATAAACGCAGGTTCAATCTACCCCACTGTTGAAAGACAGTTAAGCTGCTGTACTGTGCCTCATTTCTGATATCTTACTTGGGTCCATTCTGTTTTAATGCATGCTGCACCATAAGGAAATCCTCTATTTTTCAGCTCCCCCAAGAGGATTCACTGGCCACCTAGAAATGCCTCTATGAGTGGGTCTTTACTATCTGATGGTCCAGAGCTCCTCATATCCTCTTCTGAAAAGACGCTTTATGCTTGGTATAATGTCTTAGGACTTTTAGCTCCTAACTCTATTCCCATCCCACACTTATCATGCCAAAATGTTTTGTGTTGGCCATTTTTTCAACTTTCTCCTTTATTCTTAGATACCACTTGTATAAGTGGGGATCAGCATTTCTGCATTTAGCAATGGCTATTTTCAGTGATAACAAATTATTGGCGGTGCTACAGAAAAAAACACCTCTAGCATCTCAGACTGTAGTTTCTCCTGTAACATACTACCCATTATGGTTTTGATCAAAAATGTTTACCCTGGAGGCTCCTATTTCCAGAGGTGGGATTTTGGAAGGTGACTAGATACACACATTGATAAGCTCCTAGCTTTTTGTGCTGTTAGACTCCTCTCCTGCTGCCTTTCTGCTTCTGGGCGACCACGCTGAACAGCTCTCCTCCTCCAGGCCTTTCTGTCAAACTGTGCGTTGGAGCCAGCTGACCACACACTGAAACCTCTCAAACTGAGAGCCAAAACGAACCTTTCTTCCTTTAACTTGTAGGTGCAGATAATGAGGGAAAGGTGGCCAAGGGCCTGTCTCGCCACCATAATCCATTTACCTCTTGTTTACTAGATTATTTGATAGCATATTATTTGTTACAAATCTTGCATAATCACTCTCGCTTTGCTGTCTTTTTCATCTTAGCTCTACAGTTCCTTTCTTTCTCTGTAAATATTTCTGGCCCTTATGCTTTGTAAAAACTTCCATTAATTACACAAAGCAGAGAATAATGAATCAACTATGTTAAGTAAATTTTATTTCACTCATTGAATAATGTATCGATGTGTTTCCATCTGCTGCTGCTACACATGGCTTGCAGTAGCATAAGCCAGATATGCCTGTGATTTCCTTAGAAAAGATGAAGCAACTGCAATGGTAGAAATACATCTCTCATGGGAAAGCAAAGACCAAAAAGCTTTTATTTTCTTTTTGTGTAACACATTTACACAAATCTTTTTTGATTTACACAAATCTTTTTAGTGTTTCAAGATCAACTGGGAGAGACCTTCCAAAGTATTAAACAGAAGGAAAAATGCTTAATCTATGGGCCCAAATCCACTAAGTGTGACTATGAATTTGCTGCATGGATTTTTTAAATCACAATGGAACCTGAAAGTAGGAATAACATATAGAGAGAAAACTGACATTAGTGTGACAATATCTGCCAATTTAAGTAGCAGGTTGGCCTTGATGAAGGTAAGGTGATCAATGTATCTGGGAAAACAGCTGGCTACCAGACTGAAGCGCCTCTGCACGTGGGGCTGTGTTTTTCAGTAGATATAAAGCTGAACCAATCCTGCGTCTTCCTGATGGTCACTTACTCCTACTGCACAGGAACACCACTCTCAATTCTGAATGACAGCATCACTCGCGGGAATCATCTCACTGTATAGTAAAAACTAAAACACAGCCAAGGCCTCAAGCTTAAGAGCTAGTTGTAACTCAGATTTGTCAGGAGATAGCTTAGATAGTACGAAAGTTCCCTACAACGTGTGTCCCAACATGTTGTTTAACTGCTGGGCAACCTGCTGGAGAGCTCAGAAGAGCCTCCACCTCCACTGTCATCACTTGGTGAATCCCCAGGGTTGCGTGGCTCTATTTCCTAGGAAACCTCTCATCCTTGGATTTCTACCTGCGACGCTGATGACTACAACTGCACAGAGGCCTGGGGTAGTTAAGGTTTGTGTTTCTGGTGGTCAGGACTGGCTCCTGCCACATTGGCTTTCAGAGCATGGTGAAGGATCAGTGTCATTATGGTAGCCGCCTCATTGGGACCTGGGGATGCCGCCAACCCTGGCCCAGGTCTGCTGGGTCAACAGCTCCAGGCTGGGCCCCTGTAGCCCCAGGTGTTGTTACTGATGCACACTCAGCCCCCATGAATGCCTAGCAGGGTGGAGTGACTGTTCTAGGGGTACCTGCTGCCCAGAGGGGCCCTAACAAGGTTGGAAGACAGGGAGCTGGGAGTGAGAGCTGAGGTCCTGATGGGACCTTTAGGGCAGCACTGGGGGATGAGTGACAGTGGTGCAGGAGACCATGCACGGCCACTGGGCAGCTCTTCTAGAGCAGCTGAGACAGTGGGCAGGAGCATGCAGCTCTTCACAGGTACAGCCAGAGTGATGACTCAAAGACCTCAGGATTAGAAGGGATGAGACCCTCACAGGATTGCAGTGGTGAAAAGAGCAATTCTGCTGTGTGTACAAGATCTCAGGGAGGAGTATACCTCCCTTGCCTCCCTCAGTGCTGACCTGGGCATGGCTACTGCATGGCATGGTCAGCATGGTTGTCAGTCTGGTTCCAGGCTACGGCCACCATTCAAAGTGGGACAAAAGTCCTGTTAACACCCTGGGTTTCTATTTACTGTCTGGTCTTAAGGTCAGCTAGGTATGAACTGGCTCAGAATCCACTTGCTCACGCCATGTGCATGGAACAGGAGGAAGATGCTGCTCAGCACAGAGGATGCATGGCCTCAGGTTTTTGCACTGCCACACAGGGTCTCACCACACTTCCTCCTCCCTGATGTGCAGGTGTGGCCTGGGCACAAGTTTCTGCCCCATTTGCTTCCGGGCTCCTCAGCTGAAGCATTGCACTTGTGCCCTCAATTACTTAGACAGTTTGAACCCAAGTCATTGGTTGACAAGTGAGGGATGATAACAGTGCCCATCGCAAGGGCCGCTGTGAAGCATAAGCAAGACACACACAAAACGGTCAGTGGATCCCAGTGCTCAGCGAACCGCATCAGTGTTAACAGTTAGAATCGGGCCACAGGAAGTGGCGGCAGGGGTGCGCGAGTGAGTCTCACTTATAAATCCTCGATACTCCAGGCCCCAGTTGTTGCTCAGCAGTGCTAAACCCACCATGTGTCCCCCTAGGTGAAGCGGCCCACTCTCAGGGAGCCACGAGGTCACAGGAGTATTCACAGCTCATGGGCTCCACACAAGCCCTGTGTGCAGCACTGTGGGCCCAGCATTTTGGGGGCACCTTTCACATCAGGGCTTTTGAGGAGGAGCAGTGTCCCTGTCACCTGAGTGTCCCACTCAGACTCCACAGACCTCATTGGATGCCTCATCCTGGAAGGTAGCTCACATCAAGCCCCAGAAAGAGACAGAGTTTTGGAGTGTTTTACACAAGGATCCTAGTTCTGGGAAGGGTAGGGTATTCGAGACTAATGGTGACAAAAAGCAGTGTCCAAACCCTGCCAATCGTCAGCAGTTATTGCAAAATAGCACCTTATGTCAATCACACTTTAATCTTTTTTTATAACTAGAAACTATATAGCATTATAGATAAAAATGGACCTAAATGATGTTTACTTATTTCTACTCTATGTATTTGATCTTTTTATTTTGCATTATAAGACACTGAACAAGTTAAAAGTATTGACATAATTTCTTAGGACAGTCTCCCAAATTTTCTTTTCTTTCTTTAGGGTTAGGGTTTTTTTTTTTGGCAGCACAGGGATTTGGCTCCAGGGCCTTTATCCAGAGCTACATTCCCTGTCCTCCTTTTGAATTTGAGACAGGGTCATGGTCTCGTTAAATTGCTAAATTGCCCAGGTTGGGCTGGAACTTGCAGCCCTCCCATTTTAGCCCCTAGAGCACTGGGTTTACAGGTGTGTGCCACCTTGCCCAGTTTACAATTCCTTTTTCAAAGTAAATCACTAATTTCTATTTTCCCAGATGTCTTTTGTTGTCCCATGATAACAATTGGGTATGACTAAACTCGCAAGGATTAAAACTGTTTTACTGCACTGCCTTTTTAATGGTGCCAACCCGAGCACACGTTTCTTCAGTGACAGATGCACGGACCCTCGGTCTCCTCTCTTGCTTCAGGGAATGCATGTCCCTGAGTGTGACTGTGCATGCCTTCTCATCCAGCCCTGGGTCCCACCACCAGATTTCCAGCACCAGGGCTGGGCAGCTGTGGTCAGAGCTCAGCATTCTCACCCCCAGGGCACCTGAGTCCTCCCACGTGGACCCCTCTTCTCTTCCCTTCCTGATGCTGTGCACAGTACAATAGAGCATTACTAAATATATTAACTTGAAGCCTGTGGACACTTGTTTCTGTGACCCTGCTTCTGAGAACAGTGTGCCACCTTGTTTCGCCAGCACGACACTGCTGGTGACCTCATTTCATTCTTTTTTTGGCATTTACTCAACATTCAAGAGCTAGTAAAGGAAAGACTTAGGAAATATTCAGACTAATTTTCTGGCACTTGGACATATTATGAAACTGTAATCACCTACTACCAAGAAAGTGCTGTTTAGGAAAGAAACGATCTTAGTCATTCTCTAAAAAGGTAGGAAGTTACTGGTCTTAGTTAGTTTTCTCATTGCTGTGACAAAATACCTGATACCCAAAGCTAAAGGAGAAAAGGTTTATTTCAGCTCACTGTTTTTAGAGGTTTCAGTCCATAGTTGGCTGACTCCAAGGCAAAGTGGCATGGAGGCATCACAGAGGAGAAACAACCCATGGCAGGGCAGATGGAGAGCAACCAGCAGCTGGCAGCAGCAACAAGCCTGCTTCTTTCTATTCCTTTATAGTTCATGCAGGCCGCAAGTCTACTGATTAGTGCCACCCACACCCAGAGTGTGGCTTCCATTATCCACATCCTTGATCCCAGTATCCACATTTACACATCCAGCCTAGTCCTTTGGAAAGTCCCATCTTTCCAAAAGTGGGAAGTGGAGGGAGGTCTAAGGGAAAACACACCAGTAGCTTTTTCACAGTATGATAAGGGTTGTGACAGAAGGAAAGTCAGGAGTTGGGCATAGTTGGTGAATGCTTGTAACTCCGACTCTTGGGGGGACATTTAGACACAAACCATACTATCACTTCAGCGTTCCTAAGTAACTGAGAGAAGGACTGAAGTCCACATGATGCAGAACAGCACTTACAAGTAGTGTCCAGGCTGGAATTGTCTGCCTAAAACTCTTCATGGCTCCTTGCTTTCTGCAAAGGCAGTTGAGCTGCTTTGTCTAATCTTCAGGGCTCTCTCACTTCAGCCTGGGACATCCCACAGACCCTGCACTCCCCACATTAGGGGAGCCACCCCACTGTTGAGTTAAATGACACCCAGTCAGAACTGATTGGCCTGCTTATAAGAAGAGGAGATCCGGACTCAAAGGCCCCTGGCTGGACACAGAGACCCTGAGTGAGGACACCGTGGAGGGTGGCCAGCTGCAAGTCACAGAGAACTGAGCCATGGGCACTGTGGCCACGGGCTCTGCCACTCTGGGCCCTGAGGAAAACTGTCACTCAGTGTGTGGGATTCCACGTGGCAGCCCTAGGAAACTAATAATACATCTTAAACAGTGTGTAACACAAGCCATGTGTCCTGGTGCACACCTGCAATCCCAACACTGGGAGTCTGAGGCAAGAGATCACAATTTTAAAATGAGCCTGGGCAACTTAGCAACCTTAGAGACCTTGCCTCAAAATAACAAAATAATCCAAGGCAGGGCTCAGAGTGCATAGGCCCTGGGTTCAGTCTTTAGGGTTGAAAAATGGTACATGTGTAAGCTGGGTTTCAGCTTCCCCTTGCTTTCTAGCATGCTGCACAAAAAATCGAACTTTCAATCTGGGCCTTTCTATAATGGCCTGCACCCTGGGCCCTGACCATAGCCTCTGACTGTGTGGTATCACAGAGCCTTGAGAGCTCTCTGAGGTCAAAGTTAAGGCTCAGTGGGGACCTTGGCTTACAGCGTGGGCAGCATGTAGGTGGCCCTCAGCCTCATGGGATGGACATCCAACCTGAAATCGTTACCTGCAGGATTAGTCTTGTACTCATGCCGGCAAAATACAGAAACCAGTGAACAGATCCGCTGCTTACCATCATGCTGTCTAACTAACTTGCCTACGGTGCCCCACAGGCTCTGAATTTCCTAAGGGGACCAGAAGATCAAGAGTGACATCTCTACCTGTGCAGAGCCCTGCCCTTTGTCGCCCTCCTCTGCCGCTCCAGCTGCTCCTGAGGTTCAGGCTTCTTCCCTTTACCCCAGGGCCACCAGCTCTGCCTCAGAGCTCCTCCCACTCAGTTTCACAGCTCTCTCTATGCTAGGCTGGATCACGCCCCTGGGTCATCCTCCACTTAGTTTATCATAGGATTTGATGGGTAAAGACTGCTCCTCTAATTCTCTGTATTTCCCCCCAAAACTCCCGACAAAGTTGCAAGCAAAGAGCAGGGTGCTTTCCATTTGAAGAAGCAAAAAGGCCTAAGAGGAATCTGGCTGATCTAAGCCAGTAACCAAATTCATGAAAACCTATACACTGTTGAGATTCACATGACAGTTACTGGCTGACTTGGAATTAGAACCCAGTTCTCATGACTCCCACGTTTTATTTTACTGTGGCATCTGCTAGGAAGTGTTTGTCATTGTGTGGAAGCAATGGCAAGGCTCCCTGTTAGCTGCCAGGTACCAGCTCTGAAATGGAGAGAACTCCGCTCTCCATGTGGCCTCTTCACTAGAACTAAGTCAGCACTGTGAACATGAGATAGGTTTTGAAGATGATAAAGCCACATCACAGCAGTGGGAAAGGTATGCAATTGCATACTTATGACCAGATAACATATCTAGGGACACAGGAAGACCTTGGAGGGACCAGGGTCAGGGTGCTGCAAAAGCCCAGGAGAGAGGACTTCCCCTTAACCCACCTTTGCGAATCTTCTCATCAGGTGGGACAGTGCTTCGGGGTTAGGGCACTCCAGCTTCTTAATAATCTCAAAGCTCTGGTTCAGCTGAGCAAAGACATCAACCACAGAGCAGGAAAAGAGCGCGTGGTCAGATGTCTGCTGAAACTGTGGATGGGAGACAAAGCCATCACAGTGGTCACACTGGGGTACAAGAAGAGCCTCCAGCCTTTCACACCAACAGCCCACCTCTTTGCACAATCACACGCCTACCATTCCCCCTCAAGGAATGGTTCACCACCTTTTCTGGAAATTGCAGTGGAACCCAGGCCACAGAGAGCTGCTGCTAACTGGTTTGTCCACTACTGAGTGGAGGGCTGCTTCTCCCTCTTTCTCTTTTCTCCCTCTCATGCATAGTGGAGAGTGCAAACTCAGAGTTGCTGGGAGGGCCAGGTAGGATGCTGCTACAGGTCTGGAGCCCTGGAAAGCTTCTGGGACAACAGAGAGGTTTGCAGCTGGGGAACTTAGGGCCTCAGACTCATTCAAGAAGTAAAGCCTCTCAGGGCACAGGGCTGATTGATTTTTTAAAATTTTAGTTTAAGTAATTTCCTAAGATTCTGACCAGCCCTTGAAATTGTGTTATGTTCATTTTCATTGTTGGGGAATTAAAAACAATGAGCCTCACAAATTCCCACCAGCTTGAAGGTGAGCAGTGTGACGGAGTCAAGGCAACACACACTCTTACAGTGACTGCACTCACCCCGTCCTTTTTGTCCCTTCCCAGCGCTCCATGGAGGAACTCCATAGATACATCTTCGTTCTCATCCAGCCACTGCATCACGAAAGGCTCAAACCACCTAGAAAAAGCTAGCGATGTTACTACCACAAAAGGGAACGTCTGCTTTCATTCTCGTCTGAGAGTAACTCAGGATCTGAAATTGCCTTTCACTTTCCATTCCCAGTTTTGCTTCCTCGGTCTTACGTGTCTCTGTTTCCTTCAGTCTCGGGGTTCTCCACTTTTCCCAGGTGGTCTCAGATGCATGCTGCTCTCATCACCTGCCCTGCAGTTCCCTCTCCCCTGCTCCCGGGAAGCCTAGATTTGGTAGCTCTCTGTGCCCTGCACCCTCCTTCCTAACCTTCACTGCCCAGCGCTGCCTACCATCCTGCTGCCACAAGCCTCTGCCCCTCACTGCTCAGTGCTGAGCCACAGTCCACCTTCTGTAGGCGGGCTCTGTGGATGGCTGAGAGAAGCCTCCTGGTTCGGCCACATGGATGCCCAGGTGACCCAGGACCCACACTGCCCCATTGCAGCGCACAGGCAGGCGTCTTGATGTGAATCAGTCCCCGTGTGTGCATCCTTCCGAGCTCACTCCCCACTGGCTCCTCTGTCATTCCCCCACACCATGCTACTCCAACAGCGTATCTTTCTGAGAAGTCTAGAGGTCAATGGTGTTCTCCAGCTCTTTAGCTGCTCCTTCAAGTTTGCCTGGATATCCTTAGACCTTTGCATTTTACAGGTATCTTTTAACGAGCTTGCTAATTTGCACAAAAATCACTTCTAGAAATTTTATAGGAGTGCATATTTTAATTTTGAAGAACAATCATCTTTATAATAATTGATCTGTTTAGGAATATTATACATTTTATTCAGTTCTTCTTAATTTTAAATTAATACTGTTATAGTTGTAAAAATGACTTCAACACCTTTCATCACATTTACTTCTGATAGTTTTATCACTGTTTAAATCCTAAGGCATGTAATTCTTCGTTTGAGCCTTTAGTAAATAAGTTTAATAAACTTTTATGTAGACCTACCACTTTAGAATTATTTAGACTTACCAATTTAGAATTTAGAATGTACTTTTAAAATGCTAATATTTTTCTACAGTTTCTTTTGGATTTCATACAGGCACAATCACATTACCCAAAAATCAAGTAGAATCATTATTTGTTCTTAAAATTGTAATTTTCTTTATGTTTTAGTGCTGGGTATTGAGCCAGGGCACTGTGCTTTCTAGACAAACGCTCTGCCATGGTGGCTCCATAATCATACTTTCCTGTCTGATTGCCTTGGCTTTGTCTCCTAAGACAACGTCACTAAAAGTGACACATCAGATATGTCTCATTTTTATCTCAAAAGGAGCTTGTGAAATTTCTCCAGTGAGTATAATACTTCCTTAAAGGTTTCTTGTCATTGCTACTTTGAGGAAGAATCATTTATTACATTAAGATAATATCCTATTTTGAACTAAGACTTTTTTTAGCAAATTGACATTTTATTTTACCAAATTATTATTCTGTGTTTAGGGAAATGATTATAGGGATTGTTCTCCATTATTCTGTAAATGTGGGGGATTTGCCATTGTTTTTGTCTAATGTAATATTCTAGGAATTAACTCTGCTATTGTGATGTTATATTGGCCTTTTCATAAATTACCAGTTTGTACTGGCTCACATCTCAGTGGAGGTTTTTAGAAAAATTAAACTCACGTTATGCTTGGGCCTGAGGCATTCATCAGTGAGGTTTTGCCCTCAGGTTGGGTTTGGTCAGGAGAGGCAATCCCGAAGGCTGTGACTTGCCACCCAACAGGGTTGCTCTCCCTCTGCGCTTCCCTCTCTGTTCCTGGGCACAGTTTTGCTCCACCCAGGCTGCTCTGCTGAGCTGGCTGTTTCTGTGTTTAAGCCCCCAGAAGTGGAGCGTCTGCACTGTGAGCCAAAATGACAGCCCTTTCCTGCTGTAAGCTGCAGATGTCACATGGTTTGTCCCAGCGATGCCGGAAGTGACAGAGACAATCTGGGAGAGAAGGGCTCCTGTTGTCACCCTTGGTTGTCACGTTCCCAGTAGGTTTCCGTAAAGAGGACATGCTGGCCTCAAGCAGTGATTTCAGTCTTCATGTCCTTCCTGGAAAACCATGTCATGTGGGTGAAGTTTCCTTCTCAAACAATGGAAGAACTCCATTTGGAGCCAGGTGGGCCTGGAAATTTTATTTGTAACAGGATTTTTAATGTGAGATTCACTTTTTAAAATATTAATAGGCTTACTCAGATTTTATATATTTTTCTTACATCAACTTAATTGTTCTATTTCAAAAGGAACTTGTATATTTTTATATAAATTTCTAACTGTACTGGTATAAACATTTTTATTTTTTATTATTATAAGATCTTTATTATATCCTTTTCCGATGTTATTTTATTTGGATATCCTCATACCACACTGTGTTTCTTATGTTTTTTAAAACTTCTATCAGTCTTTAACAATGAAGAAAACCTTTTGAATATTAAAATTTTCTATTTTACTTTTATTCCAGGTAAGATTACTTTTTAAGGTAAGATTATTTTATTTCATCTACTTTCCTGTAACTTTATTTTTTGTTTTCAGCAAATACTTATATTTCCTTTCATTTTTTCCTATAAATTTTCCTATTTTCAGCATTCCACAAAATGTGCCAGGTTTTATTATTTCTTAATTCAAACATGTTGCTACTTTAGTCAGGTGAAGTGGCCTACGCTGTTGTACTTGTAATCCCAGCACTTTGGGAGGCTGAAGCAGGAGGATCAAAGGTTCAAATCTAGCCCAGGTGATTTGATAATGCTAACACCTTTTCTCGAAAAAAAATTCTTTTAAAGTAAAAAGGGCTGGGTATGTGTAAGGTCCTGGCTTCAATTCCCAAAACAAAAAAGTTTTCTTTCCATTATTGTTTCTATATTTTTACCTAACATTGCTATGTTCTCATGTTTTGGGTGACTATCTTCCTTAAGCCCAACACATTTAAAGGCTTTTCATTCTTTTTGGGTTGAGATAGCTTTATATAGTGCATTCTTGCATTCACCTGCCCTGGTTTTGTAGAACTTGTGGACCCTGCCTTCCGCAAACCCTGGATCTCCTGCACCCTCAGCCATGCCCCGGTGCAGCCCGAGCTGCTTGCTGACGGGGTCTATTCTGAGAAACACGTCAGCAGTCCCGTCACCGTGAGCACAGCAGGGAGAGTGGCACAGCCGACGCCCTGGCTGCCGTGCCACCTGCAGGCCACTGCTGACTGAGCCTGTGTTGTGTGGTTCAGGCTGTGCGGTTTCCTCCCCTTCTCTTTTCTCTTACTTATTTCCCTGCACGTTAGTCCTTTTAACCAGTTCCACATATGCCTGCTTGTGTTTCCCCCTGTGTTTCTTATTTTCTGTTTCTGTTTCTATACTCTTCTTTCCTCCCAACCCATTTCCAGTTACTCCTGCCCCCACTGTGTCCACTGACTTCATCTATTTCATTCTTTATTTCATTTGGTTCCAGATCTATAATTTCCATTTCAGTCTTCTTTTAGGCTCAATTTTTCTTTTGATATTATCCAGGTTATTTTATTTTATTTTATTTTATTTTATTTTATTTATTATGTAAGACAAGTTTTCATTGCATAATTCAGGCTGGCTTTGAGTTCACTATGGCTGGCTTCAAACTCACTGTGATCCTCCTGCCTCAGCCTCCTGAGTGCTAGGACTATAGATGTATGCCACCATGCCTGAATCCAGCATTTTAAAGCGTACATCAAAGTCTGTGTCTGGTTCTAGCCATTTGTGTCCTGTTGACCGAGAGCCTTTCATATTTTGTAGGCAATTATATGTTAGCTATGAAAAACTGTGGACTTATTGTTGATCATTTCCTTCAGAGAGGTTTTAAATTTTTCCTTGTAGATAGAAGTCAGAAAAGCACCTCAGTCCAGGCAATGTTGGGCTTCAGGCTGGCCTATTTCTGGTTTGGGTGGTCTGTTTCCAGTTTTTCTTCATTTCTCCAACAGGGCACTGCAGGCCTGCAGTGTTTAAAATGATCCTTCTCTTCTAAAGAGACCTGACTTCTGGTTTGTATGTCTGTGCCACTGCTGAAGTCCACTTAGTTCTAAATCTCTTGTGCCTGCTATCTGCTTCATGTTTTCTGTCTCGGTCCCCTCACACAGGCAGATCAGGAATCAGAAAACGCCTCCAGGGAAAAGCATGTGGCCTGCAGTGTGCCTGTCTGGGACCTGGGTCCCACAAGTCCAAGCAGCCCTTGTGTCCCTGCACAGTGACGTCATCTCTCCAGCCCTGGGGATGTCTGAGGGTGCAACCAGATGGTCACTGCTGGCCCGCAACAGGACTTAATTCTGTGAATGGGGAAAGCAACAAGGGTGGGGAGTGGCAAGGGGGGTGGTTGCTGGGGACTCTAACGCAGCAGTTCCCTCCCAGGACCTGGACCCCTCAGCTCCTGTCCTCTGGCCTGCTCACCTGCCCATGCTGTTTGATTACACTGAGCGTTTACAGTCTTCAATGAGCATATCAAGGAGCCTGGACAGAGCCAGAAGCAGGGTCTGGCAAGCAGCTTGACGGTCCCTTTCCTGTTTCAAGCTGGTGAACTCCCGATTGCTCGGCTCACGTCCTAACTCTTGCCTCACTCACCTTTATTAGTACCTTTTGATGGTCTGCATTTTGCATCCTCAGACTGTCTCTCCCACCCACTTCACCTCCTCTGTGCTATGACTGCAGTGTGGGCTGGAGCCCAGGGTCTTGCACATACCAGGCAGGCACTCTGCCCCGAGCTTTACTCCCAGCTCCACTTAACATAAATGTTTTTAACTAACGAACTTGTATAGACTTACTCTACGTGACATATTTTGAAACACGCACATGTTGTAGACTGGCTAAATTCAGTTAATATGTGTTACCTACTTGGGACACATAGAAATGATTCTTAGCAATTTTCAAGAATACAATACACTTTTATTCACTATGGTTCCTAAGCTGTACAACAGGGTCTCTTGAATTTATTCTCCCTGTGTGACAGACATCTTGTAACCTTTGGCCAAAAATGCCCTCCCTTTATAGTTTAATGCTATCTTGTCCCCCGTCCTTTTCCATGCTGTGCACATCCATGGGAAAGCTGTAAGCTGTTGGTGTGTTACCATGCACTGCACATGACCTTCTAAGTCCTGACTGCCTTCTCTGTCTCTCTACAGCCCACAGTGCCCAATGAACGTGGGCCAAGCTTCACAGCCTCTGTTCAAAATAATCCAGTCCAGCACTACTTTTTCTATATCACTTTCTACTGATTTTGTAAAACTACCTTAGACCCCACTATTTTCTGTGGGTCATAGCCTGCATATTCTGAATTACATTTTATCGTTACACTAAGGATTTTCATTTCTGTACTACTTTGCTCCTTTTGTCTCTCTTGGCATAAGCTGAATGGTTTTCCATTTTAAAGGCTATACTATCGTAAGATTGTGTGGAGTCCTTGGGGTCATGCTTGTCTTCTGTGAGACCCTACTCACTGAAATTTGTGTATGTTACTGAAGTTAACACTTGTGTCTCTTGCCCTTTGCCTTATTGACCTCTCCTGAGTCCAAGCCCTCTAGAGAGTGAGGTCTTGGCGTTAGGCACTGGCCCAGGGCCTGGCGTGCAGAGGACCCCTTCAGCAGGGTGAAAGGGACCTGAGACACAACTGGACACAGAACACTATGGATACCACTGTGATTACAGATGGAGTCAGTAAAGGTAAGCTTACAAAGGAAAATGTTCCTGATTAAATAATTGATTTCTATTTTGGAAATATGAATTTGTAAGAGAGCGAAAGCTTCAAATTAAAGGAACAATCTGATTGTATGGACCAATATACAAATTCTTCATCAAAACAACCCATCTGTGTCCTAGCACTTTTACAGGAAAGAATCGCATCATGTGAACCATGTCCTGCTCTGTATTTCTCCTCTTTGAGTTGAACATCCCAGTAAGGCATACTTGAAAACTGCAACACAATTAAATATGGTTCCCAAAGATATTGTGCTATCATGAGTTTTGTGATGGAGACGCTTGCTTTCAAGTGAAGACTGGGAGGAGATATGAGTGCTGCACAATTCAGCTGTAATTTCATGAAATGGAGCTGAGAACAAACAGGGATTCAGATCTCTACTCACAAGGAGTACTCCGGGACAGCATCCTTGAAGGCAGGAAGCTCTCGCACGTACTCATTATAGAACCACTTCACTTTGAAATGCAAATTCATGTAATCGGTGCTTTTGCATAACCGCTGCTTCTCGTGTTCTATAGCAGATAAAAATCAAACAGTTAACAGAGTCTGGTTTGCCAACAATGCCACTGTATTCCAATCTACATCTATCATTAGTGTGTCTAATATATCTCAAAAGAAAATGGTGGATGAGAGGTAAAGGCAAAGAGAATTGCAAAACAGACCTAGAAATTTCCAAGTTGCAAACATGATCCTTGCTCTCACAGGGCAGGGTGTGTCCAGCAGCACTGGGAGAGACGGGATAGTTTAATGTCTTCCTGGACAAGCTGAGAGTTTTGGTGTAGCTAATGAGTGAGACATGCTGAAATTTTTCTGTTTGTCAGCAAGCCCAAATCGTCTCATATTGTCCATGGTTAGCCTCATACGAAGCGTTGAAGCATGCATGAAACGTGATTCACACACGAAGCCATAACTGCCAACTGATGCAGGGAATGAAGCAGGTGGATCTCTTTTCTAGCTGGTTATTTAAGACAGAATGAAGAGAGTTGAAAAAGAAAAACTAACTCCTAAGTCACATCATTTTTCTTCACTTTTTAAGTTCAGCTAAGATTATTTTGCACCCTATTTCTTGAGGAGGATTTTCTAAGCTGCGGCACTTTTTTCTCTTGTATCAAAAGTATACCTTGAAACTGGTTTGCCATCTGGACATTCAGGAAGCGGAGGAGAGAGAGACGTGCATGGGTGTCATTTGCACACACTTCCCTCCCATTCGTAGCATGGCTGATTCTGGCTACAGCTACATATACAAATCTAGCCCTCCCTGCTGTATTCAGGGTGACAGCACCGTCAGAGAAGCCCTGGCTTCTTCATTAAGCTAAAGGCGCTTTGAGTTAAGGCACAAATTTCACCAACTTTGCAGTCTGGCCAACTTCTTCAAATGCTAATCACACCAATTAGAATGTTATACAAGATTGAGGCTGTGCTTGCTTTCCAACACCTGACTGCAGAGGGATTTAGATCCCAGTACCACACAAAGGAGAGAATACCCCAAATCAAACATCTTCAAATTATGTATCTGAACAATAATTAATTCAAGGCAATCTGCAGGTGTGAGGGGAGGAACAGAAACATGGACTCACAGAAGCAAAGCGATAAGTGCAGTACTTCTCGGCCAAAGAGGATGCAGCATTATGAGGAAGATGCTTTCCTCCCATCACCCCAAATTCATTCTGTCAACACGGATGTTGGCTCCCCCATCCCTCACCCTTCAGAGAGTGCCAGCCCTCCATTTCTTAGGGACCAATGCTGGTTTTGTGCCCCTGCAGGCAGGGTGCCCAGAATGCAGATGAGGGAGAGCGTGGCCGCAGGACCCTCACAGGCAGCGAGTTCAGCTCTCACACATCACCCTGCCTCTTGGGAGCCCACGCTGGTGCTGGGCCAGAGCCCAATGCCACCTTGTTTACTCACCGCCCTCACACAGACTTGCTCAGTGCACACTGAGAAGGGTCGAAGGCTGAGAGTGGGAAACAGCATAGAAATGGGATGCGTGGGTCCCGTGAGATGCCATGCGCCTTTCCACACTCTCCGACACCTGGCTCACGCCTGAGTGCTCTCGGTTGTACTCTGAGCAGTTATTACCACTTCCACGGCCAGCAACGTGAGTGGTTACCGTTAAATCACCTGTCTGTTTCTTCATGTGTTCCTCCGTTTCTCCCATAAAGTATGAGCATGTATCCAATAGGACACATTTCAAGTAAACTATAATTACATCCTATGTACTACTCAATGTTAGTCTAAGAGGTTAATATCAAATTCAAAATACACTTGAAACTATTTTGACTTTCACTCAAACTACTTCTACTTAATGGCAGACCATACTGACAAAATGCATTAAATTCATAAGATATGAATGACTCATAGAATTATGTAGCTATCAATCCTCTAAATTTTTAATGTTGGCAATAAAGAACCAAGTAGCTTGTTACATTTACAAAAATGAAACATTTAGTTTTCTAAATTGCAGTATAATAATTCTGTTCAAAATTTAATCTGAACTTTCATAAAAATATGAATATTTTAGTATAATAAAAAATTACTTCTTAAATAAAATAATAAACTTACTTCCTTATATAAGGAAAAAGCTTGGCAATTTAGAAGATGCAACTATTTTCCTATTAGATGGTGTCTATTAACTTTTGCTTGGAAAGAATGTGTTTTTTCCAGAATGTCCTATCTCTATGGGTTTCAGGGATGCCATAGGAATGTACAATTACGCATTGGCACACATGATAGGGATGCATTCCACCCGTTCTTAGGCCAAAGGCAGCCATGTGGATTCCAACACACATCACTCCTTTCTTTAGTCTGCGACACTACTGTATCACAATGGCCTGTTTTCTTCTAGAGTTCACAGCCTACAGCATTTCCAGGTGTACCCCAGTGTCACTCTGGGAGTGGGCAGTAGGCTCTGCCTCTAGCAGGTGGTGACAGAAGGACTTCCAGCTCATCAAGGACAAAGCCAGGGTCAGGCCCCACACACAGTGTGTTTAGATACCATATACACACACACAGTGTGTTTAGATACCATGTACACACAGGGCTGCCATGCAGAGACCTGGGCGCTAACATTATTGCATGTGCACATGCATGCACACATGGCACGTCCATCCAAGGTTCTGTGTGTTTGTATTGACAATACACAGATACAGGTTCCCTTCTAGACCCTGAGAATGCTAAGCCACACAAACATGGGAAATGAGGTAGACTAGGAGTTATCCTTTTCCTTTAAATAGCCTGCACAAGTCGCATAATATCAGGGTGACTGTGAAGGTTAGACAGCACCTACAATTCTAGCTGCCAAAAGTAAGGCACACTATTAAAGCTTGGAGAAATAATATAGAAAATGTGCAAAATGACTACACATACTATGATAAAAACTAACTTGGTCTATGAATCTTTTTTTTTCTGATGTTGATTTTTGCTTTAATCAAATGACATATTTCACAATAATCCATTACTTATTACAGTAAGAATTTTAGGGAAGACCACTGCAATTGGCTAACCATCCCAGCCCAGTTGTAATTTTGCTTCAGGAAATAATAGGATATTTCTTTGTTATTTCCTTGTGTGTAATTAATGTGTGTCAGGGTCTAGATGGTCTCACAATAGGAAATTATCTTGCTGGGTAATTGATATTTACTTATTCTTCCACTTATGTTTGCTTAATTTTTATGTATTTTTCCATTTGTATTCTAAAGAGTGCTCTTTAGAATAACACATTAGAGATTTTATAGAATTTCTGGCTTTTTTCCCCACTGCTGTTTTGAGTTTCTGTGTCATTGACCCCTCTGAGAATCTTTCCTTTTGAGAAACTAAAGCATGCCCACTTGGATACATATTTTAAAACAGGATAGACAGTAGGAACCTCACACATCTCAGCAAGACTTTTTTTTTTGATATCACTAGTGAGAATCAGGCAGTCCCCTTCAGTCTGCTAGAGCTGTGGCTCTGGAATGAGACAGTCAAGACTGTCTCAAGTCTTGTCTGTCAGTCAAGTCAGGTTGGAGAAAAGAAAGGCTGTTTCAGGCTGGTTTTAAGCTATAAAAAGCCTCTGAAGTAGCTAACATTGCTTCTCAAGTCCTGTTGGCCCAAACGCATTCTCACTGTCTAACTACCCACGGGTTCCTTCCTAGTTTTTGACACTCCCACATGTGAAATCTTTGCCGTAGTCCATCTTTCTAGGCACCAGCAGCTTTTTGCTTCCTTCTCACACATGTAACTCTCAGTGTGTCCCCTCGAGATCCTAGAGACCGTTTCACCACGGTGGTCAGCCCAATCGAAATCCTCCAGGTGGTGCGTAGTAGTGTCTGTCAAGCTCAAATACAGCTTCTCGTGACTTGAAGACCAGAGAACTAAGAGGACAAAGGAGTTTACTGTCTCCTCTCCCAGCCCACACCCATGGTTCAGGGTGGAATCTGGGCAGCAGAGCAGTCTCTTTTCTGGGCAGTTTTGAGATCTTAATAGTCAAATATTGTATGACTTGTGTGTAGGAAGTTGAATGTGTGCTGATCTTACTTCCTGGAAGGAACACCTCTGTCTGTTATTTTTCCTGGCCCCTGGCTCTGTGCAGGATGTTTTTTAGACCACGTCTAAATGGTATTGGTAAGCAGTCCTTGCTTAAGAGTCGGGCAGCCTGCAAACTCTGCCTTTTGCTTACAGGTTCGGTGTCACAAGTGGTTCTAATTTCAAATGTCCACAGGCATTTCTGATCTGAATGCTGGTTTCCTTGACCACCCATCATTTACCTAATCATTTACTCCTAGCCACCTGGCCCGAGCTTGAAAGCCCACGCTGGTACCGATTCTACACATAGTAATCACCATGTTCTCTCGTTGTTTTGGCCTGATGCATCTGCCTGTGGTAGCTATGTGGAGGTCATCCAAAACAAGTCGGTTTAAGGGCTACCTTCATTTTGATCTTTACCACAGAACTAAGTCCCTCTGCTTACTGAGTTTTATTGGATTTAGGTCATGTTTAAAAGGTCATGTTATCACTCACTGTTAAGAATTTGAAAGCAATCTGATATTTTTCAATATTCCTAAGCCCTGCATTTTTAGATTTTCTCATTTCTTCTCTCTCATCAGTCACTCCTTGCCTGAGCTACTGTTTCTTCAAGTGCATTCCCAAACTAGCCAGTAAGAGCCAAACATATAACTTTTTTTCTGAAAACGGTAATTTCTAGAAACTTCCACTTTATTGGGCACTCAGCTTCCAATGAGAGCTAAGCAGCTTTCCGCTGCCTTCTGTTCCATCACCTTGAGCCCTTATTGCCTGTGCCTCTGCCACTGGACTACTAAGCCAGGGCCATATAGTGTGACTTTTATCACAACAGTATTAGTTCTGAGGCCTTAATGTTTTGTGTTAGAGTAACGTTACTGTGATAACTGTCAGGTTAGTGGCTTAACACAAAATGTTTAGTGGCTTAAATACAAAACGATTTTCTCATCAGGTAAAGTCCTAAGTAGTACCAGTTCCTGAAATGACTTGGGAGGGGGTGGGAGTAGAATAAATTCTA